AAATAGCCCAATCTTAAATTTTCATCCTGGTGGAATCAGGAAACTTGTGAACTGTTTAGCCAAATAAATTGAAAAACAAGGCAAATATGTGGGAAAATAAAGTAAGTCTACTACATGGGCATTCATCAGAACTTAAACCTAATTGCAATTGCTCTAACGTTTACATAGCACAAAGGTACGCTGGAACGTCTTTAAATCCCACCCATACTAATCTCCATCTAAGTTTCACGTTTCCTTTGTAATGGCAATAGAGTGATTAGGTCTATGTCAGACGTTCAGTCTTGTTATAATCTTTTCAGTGAAACGACTACTGTAATGTGAATTTTAATTTTACGCTTAAATGAATTACAAATAAAGAAGATGCCTGTGACGTCATGCCAGTGTATTCAAATGACTTTGCAAGCAGAAGTACATATTTACGTGGAACAGCTGTGTTCATATTGCGTAAGTTTAATGTGTCCTACACATCTGACGTTTTTAGAAATGGTCAAACTCACCCCACTGTGACGACCTTGAGACAGCCTACATTGGAATCGGACGTTTTCTGAAGGTTGCCAGAACCGCGCCTTTCCTTACTACTAGCACGAGTGTCGCTTTTAACCGCATGCAAACTGTTACTCTACGTTTGTTCCTCTTCTGGATCTTGACTCTTGAACTGGCCGGATTTTATAGCATATTTTGTAAGTTCTGCATAAACTGGAAAGTTAATATAGAATCACCATGTAATAAGAACGATCCGCTTGGTCACCACAGCTAATATATTAGTGAAGAAATAATAAGTTTACTATAGACATTTAGCTCTGAACATCATAGTCGAGCGGTTTGTTTTCGGAGAGTCCCGCAGCCAACTTTTGGCCCACAGATCGAACATCGAGCCATATGTATTTTTCGCGGTTCTAATCAGCACCTTCAGCAAACTGTGGGAGCAGTACCGCAAAACCAGTCTCTTCCTTCAGTGTTCTTTTCAATTCATATTTCAAAACAGCCCATTTGGCGCTACATAGTCCACACTGTCCACAGGGCGTGAATATAATCATTCAGTTGTAAAGGACAATACATCCGGGGTCCTTTCTCATAGGCCCATGTCTATTGCGAAGTTTATTTGTAAGAATCTCTTGAGAAACTTACTGAACAACATAAAGTCTTTATTATCCATGATAGTTGCAGCTTGGGGGGACGAGGTTCATGCACAGCCGTGAAATGACTGCGATCTTTCTGTTCCCCACAATGTTCACCCTCTCCTGGAACTGTTTCCTCGAATGTGACACACCGATCCTCGAGCTGACCAATCACCTTCACCCAATGTGTAGATGTACACCTGGATGCACTGCTTACGTCTTCACCGAAATGTACTTCGAAGCAGAACCAATTCTATCTCAGCCAATATCATGCGGGTCAGTTTACAAATATATTTGCAGCTGATGCTATTCACTCTTATGGAACTGGAACAGGTCTTTTCATCACCACAGGTCCACAAAAGTCCGCCATTCGTTTCTCGGTCTTTACATTTCATCTTGTCCAAACTTCGTCATCGTGATTAGGGAGCGAACGAGTTTTCGCTTCAGTGAATAGCGAGAACATCTCCAGTAGGAACCAAGGTACCAACTATCCTGACTGAAATTTCCCATCCGGAGGAACTTGGAGGCTACAATAAATTTATCTTTATTCTATTACGTCACCACAATTGGTAGTATGGGAACATCAGATATTTCGTTGTTTCTTACAAGGTGTTTCGGCTCATTAGGCACCATAAAGTATCTGACTTTTTTACATTCACCCTGTATTCGTCTACTAGTGGTACTCCTAGATTGGCCACTGTTTATGTACTGTAATATTATTTTTTAGTAGTATCTAATGCCATTTGTACATATAAAAAGTTGTATGCACCTCTTAGATTAAATATTAATTGTTAAAATGTTAAATCTTCATAATTAAACGTATATAAAATGTGTTCTTATGTGTTTGTCTGGATGTAGTAGTTGTGTGTAGACGTGTCTCTTCTACCGATCTATTTCTTTCTTGTATTCTTATTGGTCTTTTATCGATGTTTTGTAGTATGATTTTGTTGGTCTGTATGTATATAATTGCGTTTTCCCTTGTTGCGTTCCTTGCATTTGAGAGAAGTGTTGTGTCTTGTATGTGATGGTCATGAAACACTAGATTCCTATTAAATACTTTTAGATTTAGCGGGAATGCAGGGGGTCAGATGGGACGGAGGTGGAACCGAACCAGCAGGCGAATATACATGTTTCTGTGGAAAGGGGAATGAAAGTCATGAATTAGGTACAGGTTTTATCGTACATAAGGGAATCGTATCAGCAGTTAACAGGGTAGAGTTCGTTAGAGATAGGATATCATATATAATACTAAAAGGTCGCTGGTGTGATATCATTATTATGAATTTTCACGGCCCAACAGAAGACAAAATTAATGACATAAAGAACAGGTTCTATGAAGAACTAGAACATGTATTTGATAAATTCCCGAAGGACCCTCTGAATATTTTGTTAGGAGATTTCAATGCCAAAATAGGGAAGGAAGACATTTTCAAACCAACGATTGGGAATGAGAGTTTGCATGAAATTAGTAATGATAATGGAGTTAGAGCAGTAAATTTGCTACGTCATAAAATTTTACTGTCAAAAGTACAATGTTCCCACATCGTAATATCCATAAATTTACTTGGACATCTCCTGATGGGAAGATACTCAATCAAATAGACCACGTTTTGACAGATAGGAGGCGGCACTCAAGTATACTTGATGACTGATCATTCAGGGGAGCAGACTGTGATACTGACAACTACTTGGTGGTGGCAAAATTTAGGGAAAGACTGGCAGTGAGTAAGAAAACAACTCACAGATTTCATATGGAGAGGTTCAATCTCAAGAAATTAAATGAGGTAGAGGGTAAAGAGCTGTATTGTGTTGAAATCTCAAATAGGTTCGCGGCTTTGGAAAATTTGGCACTGAGGTGGATGTTGATAAAGCCTGGGAAACTATTAGAGGGAATATCGAAATTTGTGCCAAGGAGAGGTTAGATTGTTATGAACTGAAGAAGTATAAGCCACGTTTCGATGAAAGATTCTCAAAATTGTTAGACCAAAGAAAGCAAGCCACATTGCAATGGTTGCAGGATCCAAGTGAGTTAAATGGGGAAGATCTCAACAATATAAGACGTGAAACCAGCAGGCATTTCAGTTATTGAATATACGTACAATACATTGGGTCAGTAAAATTAGGCAGACAGAAATCCATACAGCGGAGCCGTTAGTACTTGATCCTAGCCCCTTTGAGGTTGAAAGTACTCTCGCAACTTTGAAACGTTATAAATCGCCAAGTAGTGATCAAATTCCGGCAGAACTTCAAGCAGGAGGCGAAATATTACATTCCACAATTTGCCTTATCAGTGGAAAGAGTCTATTATTGTACCACTTCAAAGAAAGGTGATAAAACTGACTGTAGTAATTATCGGGGGATATCAATGTTATCAACTTCATACAAAATTTTATCCAATATTCTTCTCTCGAGTTTAAGTCCATATGTAGATGAAATTATTGGGGATCATCAGTGTGGGTTTCGACGTAACAGAACAACTGCTGATCAGATCTTTTGCATTCTTCAGATATTGAAGAAAAAATGGGAGTACAATGAGACAGTACATGAGCTATTTGTAGACTTCAAGAAAGCCTATGATTCAGTTAGGAGGGAAGTATTGTACAATATTCTGATAGAGTTTGGTATACCCATGAAACTAGTTAGGCTGATTAAAATATGTTTAAACGAAACGTATATTAAAGTCCGTATAGGTAAACATTTTTTCTGTAAATTTCCTATCCAGAATCATCTAAAACAAGAAGATGCTTTATCGTCACTTCTTTACAACTTTGCTTTAGAATATGCCATTAGGAAGGTCCAGGAAAACCAGGTGGGGCTTAAATTAAACGGGACACATCAGCTGTTGGTCTATGCCGATGACATGAATCTACTTGGTGATAATATAGATACCATAAAGAAAAACACATAAACTTTAATTGACATAAGTAAGGAGGTTGGTCTAGAAGTAAACACAGAGAATACTAATATTATATATATATATATATATACATACATACATACATAGAGAAAACCAACCCATACAGACATTTTAATACCGAACAGTTCATGTCACCCATATGAACATAAACTGTGATTTATAAGGTATCTGGTCAACCGATTACACACACATCCAATTATTAGATATTCAAAACAAACAGAAGAAAACACGATAAAAAATCCTTCAAAAATGGATACAGCACAAATCTGATTACGAAACCAATACCACATAAACAAAATATACAGGAAGATCCAAACCATCAAAAAACAAAATGTTCCAATTTTTGCATATTGCGGAAAAGAAGAAAAATAACTAAATTATTCAAAAACACGCAACTGTATGGGTGTGAACCTTTATCTCTGACATTAAGGGAGGAACACAGACTGAGGGTGTTGAGAATATTTGGACCGAAGAGGGATGAAGTGACAGGAGGTTCGAGAAAACTGCATAACGAGGAGCTTCATAACTTGTACTCTTCTCCAAGTATAATTAGAATGATCAAGTAAATGAGGGTGAGGTGGGCAGGGCATGTAGCACGAAAGGGGGAGATGAGGAATGCATATAGGATATTGGTGGGAAAGCCAGAAGGAAAGAGAAAACTGGAAAGGTCACGGCGTAGGTGGATGGAGAATATTAAAATGGATCTTAAAGAAATAGGATGGGATGGTATGGATTGGGTTGATCTGGCTCAGGATAGGGACCAGTGGAGGTCTGGGTTCCATAAAATGCTGCGAAATTCTTGAGCAGCTGCAGAATTGGCTGCTCCTCCAGAAGGGCTCAGCTCCATGAGTATGTAAATAAGGTTTATCCTACCAGATGAAATTCCGTGCTACACAATCCCAGAAGTTCATACAACGTTGTAAGAGAACCGAATGACCAACTATGACTGACGTGTTATGTTCTAGGCCCAGAGTTCGCCGCGAAGGGTAGCAGTTCCGGTGCTTGTCAAGGACGGGAAACCGTGTTCAGGAACCGGGGATGTTTCTGCCGGAGGTGGAGCTCGGTCAGGACTTGGTAGCGGTCAATCCCCACAGACTGCGGGCGCAGGGGTCACTCATTGCTCACACAGCCCTGCGAGTTCTGGGCTGACTCACCAACAACAGCAGCAGCAGCAGCACCAGCAACAGCAACAGCACCAACAGCAGCAGCAGCAGCAACAGTCAGCTTGCAGCAGTACGGCCAGCCTACTCAGCAATATGGCGTATCAGCGACAGAATCTCGCAGCTATGGGTATGCAACACCAGCACCAACAGACAGCTAACATGTGTTCGTCCTACCTCCCACTTCAAGGCCGGGCCTGGTAATGCATTTAGTGAGGCCCATCCTATGGTAACGGCATCTGTAAGGAACCCCAGAACCGTGACCGGAAACACTATCGTAACAATGTTAATGTGTCGAGTTGTCGACGCAGTTTCGTGAGATCGGATGACAATTGTGGATCCTGTGGTAATAGTGTCTCTGATTAATATCAGAATGGTGACGGAAACAGTATCCACCTGACGATGTCAAAGTAGCCAACTCGCTTCGTGAGGCGAATCATGCGGAAGTGGCCATTATACTGAGTATCACAAAATACTCTGATGTAAAGAACAGATCTATCAGGGTAGGGCCAATCGACTGTGATCAACCTAGGGAAGACCAGTGAAGGGGTTGAAAGATATTTGCATATTCTATAATAATGAAATCTCTTATGAATAAGTTACCAGAAAGTCGTCCGAACATTTTAAGTATCGCTATAGATCTATCGAATAGCAGATAATCGACTATAATAACGATATATAGCGATATCGACTGTGGTAATGATACCAATCTATGGGCAGTGAGCCAACTGAAGATATACCTCACGCTACTGACAGTGTCAAGTCAAACTCTGGCTAGTTGACTGTGCTTGTGTTATCAAATTGTGGATTTTGTTTGCTGATGTAAGGAAAAGGAGCAAGTAGACGGAATGTGATGTAAACCAATGATCTGATTAGCTGAAATACTGTGGTCACGGTGTCAAATTACCAGACATACTCAGAAACAGGTCTCGCTCTTAAGAGTATGGCACAGTATCTAATATGGGTTCATTCGATATAATGTCAACTTATCGATTTTCCTGATGAGGACTGTGCTATCATAAGAAAGCAAACAGACCAGAATAGACATAATAGCAATCATGAAATCATAGTCAGTCGAATGCGGCAATGATAAAACAAAAACACTGTGTAGTCAAACCTAACTGTAAGGAGCATGACTCAGTCCTGCGAAATGCATGGCTCAAGAAAACGTGTCTCAAGTACTTCTCTTGGATAGACTATAAGAACATATCATGTTCAGACGTCCTTACATCAAAACAATTAATCTTTTTTTTTTTTACAGATCCGTTAAACATTGCAAGATTTGTTCGTAACATTCGGTAATACACTCTCAGTTCAAGACACAGAAATATTTCTTGACCTTCAAGTCCGTCTTCCGCGTTCATTAACCTTTCAAGGCAAAGTGACAACTATATGCACCACATATTTTAACATTAGAAAACTGAATTTTGCCTACAGATTGGATGTTCATATGCTCTCATTACAATTCTCAGAAGAAGCAACGATTAATTCTAATACACAACATTTACAAGTTCACATTGTAATGGAGTTGTGGTGTGGTTTCTGAGAGGTAGGAACTAAACGTTTAATATAATTGAGACGAAATTCATGCTTCAAAGTGTTAAGTAATTTGTTATAAGCAAATTAAAAAACTCAGAGTAACATAATTATATTACAATTAATTATGAAACACAAAATTCAGTTATCAACATCGTAGTGTTTCCATCTTCTTATGATGCAGCAAGAAACAAAAGGCAAAATAATAATTTGAATCGTAATGCTATATGAATTTTACAGACTTAGGATAAACTTTGCCAATGGTAGTGTTGTGCAAATCCAAGGTCAAGTTCATTGACTAATATTAAGTATTTAGTTACGGAGGGACGAATCGCACAGTAATTATATCGGTCTGACAATAAAGTTCGCGAACTCGTCGTGGTAAAGTGCTACATATCTCATTGCTGAATATCACTGTGGTCGCTTTCAAAGTACTCCCCTAGGAAAAATTTGCACTGATGCCAGCGCCTAGTCCACCCTTCAAAACAATTTTGGAACTGATTTTGTGGAATGACCTTCAGAGCTGCAGTCATGTTACTCCCGATTACATCAATGTCACCAAAATACCGCCCTTTCAATATTTCCTTTAACTTCGGGAACAGAAAAGTCACTGGGGGCTAGATCCGGTGAATAGGGAGGACGTTCCAGCACAGTTATTTGTTTACCAGCTAAAGCAGCCTTTTCAGCACTTCCAAATAGTAAACCTGGTACGTCAACGTCATCAAACCATACTGAGGTTTGTGTCCACTGCTGCCACGGCAAGATCGCGAACTTTATTGTCAGTCCTCGCATACAGCACATCACAGAACAATACGTGTAAGATACGTGCAAGCAGTTGTGCTGCTCGAAATACAGAGGAAACCTTATATAATATTTATCGATTTGACTCTTTCGCTCGTTTAACGTCGAATTTCAATGATTAAAAGGGAACAGTGTCAGTGTTAAATTTCCTACCTCAGAGTTTTCATCACCTTGGCATTGAAATCCATTGTTCCCCCTTAGAAGTGAAATGTATTAAATCGCTTATGGTAAGCTAAAGTTCAGATCATTATAACCGTCAAATAAAACTGCAGTAACATTCAGTGTGGACTGCACTATAGCTCAAGAGGTTAGTCGCTGGCTTCCCACCGCGGCGGCTCGGGTTCGATCCCGGGTCTGGTCAAGTGGGATTTGTGGTGGACAAAGTGACACTGGGGCAGGTTTTCTCCAGGTTTTCCAACAATTGCTCCACAATCACCCTCACCTATCGTCTGGGGCTGGTACAATAGGCCAGAAGTGGCCGCAGTACAAGGGACTTAATTCCATTCCACTAAAAATAAAAAAATAAAAAAATAAAAATAAAAAAACATAGTGTGTGAACACTGTTCTGCAAAATGCAGTGTACTGTGATGAAGAGTGCAAGTAGGCCTGTATGTTACTGTAGATGTATTTGGCTGTTTTAGACTCTCGATTTTGAATTTGGCTATGAAACACAACACTGCGAAACTCAACCTTAAAATAAGAGTAATACAGTTCATTCATCAAATAATAAAACTGAACCCATCTATGCAAATTCAGCGATGAAATGTAACTCGTTAGCGGACGACTAATCGATTTAAATAGGTCTATGTGGATCTGGTAACAGAAAAATTCTATTCAATAGAATTTATGAAAATGTGATAAAAGACTCGTAATAAAATAAATCTTAAGTCTTAAAGGAAATTATTTCGTTGCACGGGAAAATGAGATCGACATATCAACATTCTGCGATGAATACGAATATATTGGTAAGAAGACTGGTCCATTTATGTAGAACTATATCAATCAAAGTCCACTCAATACAATTCACGATCAAATCGAGTCACTTAGCGAGAGCATTATATACGCATGAGTCGAATGGTCATATCGTAATATCAAGCGTAGGGCGATAGAAAACAAGTAGGCCTCCCCTGTTCCTATCAGATAGCAATTGTATTGAAAGAAGAAAACAAATTGGGCTCACAGCTCAGGGCTTTGATTTCCAGTATCATTGCAAGGCAAGCTTTAATTTATTTTCTGTTGTTAGTAGGTCAAATTCTCCATAAATATTACGTGACAAGTTTGAAAACCTGATGCTACATAGTATTGATACAAACAACATTATATAACCAACTTTAAAACAACTGCAGAAAAAAAACACTAACTCACTCATAAGTAAAACGCCTAACGCGCAGACATTCATTCTGTGTTTAAGAATTTAATGATTCCAAATGAAAATGATGTGATCTTCATTGAAATGCAGTAAGGACAGCAGTTCGCCTATTTAAAATCTGGCGCGCGTTGACGGTTGCATACCATGTTCAGGGTTACGTCCAAATCGAAGTAATTAATTATAATGTGCAATAAGAAATCAGTCTCATTATATTCGCATAAGTGAGAGATGAAGTAGGATATGAGATAAATTAACTGATAATCTAGGACCTTTCATAGTCTCCCGAAGCGGACTAATTAGTACTTTATTTTTTCCTTTCAGGGCACTAGCCTGAGCGATCTCAGCATAAAAAAGTAATAACCCCAAACCAAAAAAAAATATAATAAATAATATTCAATTTATTGAAAAAGAATTAATAAAATGCATTAAATTAAATTCAGGACACTATTTATGAACTGGCTGAAATATCAGATGCAAAAAACTCGGGATTACTGATCTTTTGGACTTCGTCATCTGATATTATAAAGAACACAGTTTTTTGGAAACTGGATCTATTTCTGTCATCAGGGAAAATGATGGGAAGCAACTACCCTGAGGGAACTCTAAGAAAAATTAACCTCAATCACTGGATGAATATTAAAATATGGACAAAGTCCAAATGATCATTAATTCCAGCTGATCTATATATCATTGTCAGAAATATTTAGAACTGAAATAAGTTGAATATTCACTCAGATACGTAAAAGAGACTTGTGCTGAACAATACAGATAATAATAATAATAATAACAATAATAATAACAATAATTATAGAAATAGAAATAGGATGGTAACAAATATTTTAAGAGCCAGGTTCATTAAATCTGAGTTGACGCAACGTATCGTAACGTAACGAAACGTAAGAAATCAAGCATGCAATATGCATGAAACATGCAGATGTGAGCTAGGCGGTCAGGCGGTTGTGGGAAATCGGGTGAAGGGTTAGAATTTCACATTTCTGAAGCGTGTGAATCTAAGGAAGTAACTTATAAAATGAAGGAGGCTTACTGAAATGTCAAGTTAATGACGAATAGTATGACACTTCCTTCTTCTTGAAGTCATGGGATTTCTACAGCTATAGATCCTGTTTCGTCAACTGTCACCCAATAACTGGTGATTCCATCCCGTTCTGGGACGACCTCTATTTACTTTGCCACTGGGATTGTAACACAGGGCTAACTTTTATGTAACTTAATTTCATATTTATTTCCACGTCCCCAGCTGGAATTCTCCAGCGTGAGACTTGTTCGCCCGACACGTTAATGAATCTGGGGAAATGAAGATTTAATTACAAGAAACTCTGTCCATGGCAGCGTTATGTACCTGATATCCTGTAAGGTTTCTCAGAGTTTATGTATAGGCTCTTGGTTTTAATAAGTGACATCCATAAATTTAAAATACTGTATGCCGGACATAGTTAAACAAAGCGTCGTTTGAAATTAATGTCACGTTTTTAAAAATATGGCTATAAGCGGGGGCGAATAACTGTTGACGTTTCAAGCGTGAATCTTTTTGACTACGATATGTTAGAAGCTGTTAAGAATTTTGGCTAAGGTGAACAAATCACACAGCGATTGACTAGGGCCACTGTCATACATCATTTAAAAGATGTGCTTATTACTGAAATGTGTCGCAATCTATTCCACTTCCAATTTAAGCTTTAGAGTCGGGGCATTTCGGTAAGACTAGTCCTTACATGTGTGATGATAATGATGAAGATGTATTTATTCACGTCTGAGGCGTTACTAGGAACCAAAGGCCGCGCCATAGCTTAAGCGATTAGTCGCTGGCTTCACGCCGCGGCGGCCCGTGTTAGAACCCGGATCTGGTGAAGTGGGATTTGTAGTGGACAAAGTAGTGCTGGGGCAGGTTTCGGTTTCCCCTGCCAATCTTCATTCCATCAAATTATCCATCATCATAATCACCCGGGACAGGTACAATAGGCCAATCGGTGGCCGACGTGCGGAATGAACCCAGATGGACTCCACCCCCCACCATGCGAATTAAAAAAATAATTACTGGGAACCAACTGACGTGTAATAGAAAATACATAATTTTGTGATGGATGCAGACCGAATACCAGTTGCAATACCGAAACTATGCCTCTCTCCTTAGAGTATATCTACTCTCTCATTAAAGTTTCCGCTTCTTCACTGTTGAGGGCAGCAGTAGCGTAGTTGCTTGAGGCATTATGATACAAGCCGGAAGGTCGAGGGTTCGAATTCCGATGAGGTCATTGGATTCTTTCAATTGACCCTATCCTTCCAGCTGCACTATGACCCTGGGGTCGACTCAGCCTCTAACAGAAATGAACATTACGAAGCTTCCTAGGGGTAAAGGGCGTCCGGCGCGTAATGCTGACAATATCACCCCCACCTTTGAGCCGATTTTCTACTAGATGTTGGAGCCTCGACGTCTATGGGGCCTATGGGGCTTCATAGCCTATTACAGGAATAGCTTTACTTTTATCTTTACCTTCTTTATCATTTCGTATTTTATTTCAAAAGCAGTCACTGTTAGTGTCTCATGACGGCAACATTAAAAAGTCATTCGTATTTCGCTAGGGTTGCCTGACAATTCGGCACAAAATAAACTGAAGTATTCGGCATTGATGTGATGTTAACAACAGTTTTTTTCCTCTTTTTTTTCTTGGCACTATAGCCCCAGTGGGCCTAGGCCTACCTCCATGAACTTCTCCGTTCACTTCGGTTTTTCTAGATCTTACACGTTCGGTAGGACTCCTTGGGCGGGTGATCAGCTCGTCGCAAGACCTCTACCTGTACACAAACACAGAAAAACGCCAACACACAAACTAAACATCGATGCCCTGAGTAGGATTCGAACCCACGATCCCGGTTTCCAAGCGAGCGAAGACAGTGCATGCCTTAGACCGCTCGGCTACCTTGACCGGCAGTTTCTCTTATTTTTACCAAAGCAAAATGATAGCATATTTAATGGGGTTGCTTCCAGTAGTGCCACACAGTTGTTCGTATTTATTACAGTTAGGAGAAAGAAATTGTGCTTCAAATCAAGTTTCAGATTGCGTTTACACACATCCATTGTTTTCAAGGGAAGATCTGTCATGAAAGACAAACAAAACAATGCCTCCTGGAAAGACTACTTATATAGTAATGTAAAGTAAAGGTATCCCTATACCAGGCCGTGAAGGCCCATAGGGTTGTGAGACGTTGAGGGTCCCACATTATGTAGACAATTTGCCGCGCTTTACTCCCCAGGAAAATGATTTAATTAATTCCTGGTACTCATTTCTGTTAGAGGCTGAGTAAACCCCAGGGCCTAGTGTGGCTGGAAGAATTAGGTCAACTGAAAAAAATCCAATGACCTCATCGGAACTTAAACCCGCGTCCTTCCGGCTTGTAGCGTAGCCCCTCAACCACTACGCTATCGCGTGCCCCCTACTTACGAGTATATAGTAAAACGATATAATTAATTTCATATTTTTCCTCTTCGAACCAGAAAACTTGTGTCCCTGTGTTGCAAATATTTAGGCTTACTTAATCGAAATGTTAGTCAAGATGTGTGAGGTGTACTGGTCTCTGCTGGAGAAACCCAATGAAAGGTTAACAATATATTGTAAAGGTAAAGTACAGATTAAATGTAAGAGAATACCGAGTCAGTATTTGTCAATGCAAAAGAAAGTTCTTAAAATGTGTCTGTTGTAAACTTAACAAAACCGAGTCAGGTGGTACATTAAGAGGGTAAAATCCATGCCTACGTTTCGATTGTATGAATAATTTATTATGAGCACCGGGAAATCTCGAACCCTATCGTCGATATTATTTGAATTATAAATTGCTATTCTTCCTCTGTAGTGTAAAATACGTTTTAAGAAGCGCCGTATTATACGTTTTACACACTGAATGGAACTAGCTTAACACAAACTGATTCTGGAGCGGTATGTTTGGGAAGCCTCAGGAAGAT